ATAAGGATCAAAATGTATAATTGATAATGTAAAATAGGAAGAAAAGGTCTGAAGGAGCAGGGGAAGTAGGAGGGGCAGGGGAAAGGAAAGAAGGGAAAGGAAAAATATGAGAAAAGGAAAAAAAGTTAAAAAGTCTTTGTAAATAGGGAAGGGTGGAGGGGGTGAAGGGCGGGCAGGGGAATGGGGAAAAAATAAGAACCAAGATACTCATGTAATGGTACAAGATCCCAATGATGAAAGTAACTGTATTGTACACCTAAAATGTACCAATAAACTTAATGAAAAAAAGAACACTCCCATTTTACTTAAGAGGAACCACATGCTCAAGTGTTAAAGATATTGAAACACACAATAATAAATAAGCAACATAGCAGTGTGTTTATACAGATACATAAATATATACAATTGGCTCTCTGCATTCACATATTTGACATCTGCAAATTCAACCAACTACAGATGGAAGTCTTCTTTTTAAAAAATCCCTCTACTGAACATGTATGAACACTTTTCTGGTCATTATTCCCAAAACAGTGCAGTATAACAATTTACATAGCTATTTACATCGTATTTTCATTGTATTCGATAGGATAAGCCTTCTAGACTTGGTTAGTGGAGGTCAGGCTTGCATGGGTAATTTGCAAATGCTACATTATTTAGGGAATTCGAGTACTGGCTGTCTCCTAGCACTAGAATCTATGCTCCAGAGATCAAGAACACCAAGAACAGGGGCTGGCACATGGTGGATGTTCGGCAAGTGTCTGCTGAACAGATGGTGACCAGGAGACTCCTTCATCCTCCTCATTCCAGGGCAGAAGTGCCCAAGCCCCATCACAACTGCATGGTTAGGGGTCCCCATGTACCATGGCACCATGGATGTGACTCAAAACACGGTCTGGATACCACACAGACCCCAAGGTGGTATACAGCAGGAAAGGCTGTGGAGGGTCCCTGCAAACCCAGCCCTCTCTGTCCCTGGACAAAGCCCCAGCTTCCACCAGGACAAAGCAGGAAGTTGGAATTCTTCCTACAAAGAGTTGCGGCGTTGTGGAAAAACAGCCCAGCGAGGCTCCAGAAACTTGTTTGCTGCTCTCAGCCTGACATAATTGGGTCTGTAACTCAGGAAGGTCACTCCAGACTCTCAGGGCTCTGCAAGCCTCTCTGTATGACCAGAGGACAACACAGCTGGACGCGTGTCTCCTAAACATTGCTCCTCTCGGCCACAGTCACCAGTACCACAAGTGGCAACAAGCATGTGCGGTGTGGCTAGGGCCACATCTTCAGATGTGAAAACCAAGGCACTGTACAGAAAAAGATGCAAAGTATCCCCTTCAGAGTGTTTATATTCACATTAAAATTAATGGTTTATATATTGGGTTACATAAAATATGTTATTAAAACAGTGAGAGAGGCTAGGCATGTTTAGGGCAGAGGGTCTATGTGGGTACTTAGTACCTCTGCTTAATTTTTCTGTGAAACTAAAACTGTTCTAAAAACTAGAGCATAAGCCCAGGGTGGTGGCACACACCTGTAATCCCAGCACTTGGGAAGCTGATGCAGGAGGATCACAGCAAGTCTGAGGCCAGCCTGGGCTCCATAGTAAGACTTCACCTCAAAAAAAAATGGAAAAATAAACAAAAACCTAGAACCATTTATAAACAAATAAATAAATGAATAAAAAATTTTTATTGAAAAATTAAGTCTCCATTTCTTTTCAGTTTTTAAAATGTGATTACTAGAACTTTTAAAATTATATATGTAGTTAAAAGATATGATGAATAGGATTTTTTTTTGTTTGGCTGATGGTGGTATGGGGAATCGAACCCAGGGCCTGTCCACTGAGGTATATACCTAGGTTTTTTTCTGTTTTTTGTTTTGTTTTGTTTTGTTTGCAGTACCAGGGATCGAACTCAGGACCTTGCACTTGCGAGGCAGGTGTGGCACCACTGAGCTAAATCCCCGGCCCTTTTCTGTATTTTTTATTGTAGGGTCTCATTCAATCGGTAAGTTGCCCAGGCTGAGCTCTAACTTGCGATCCTCCTACCTCATCCACAACGTGCTGCAGGATACTTCTATTTGACGTGTTTCTTTTTCTGCTCTCTGACCGGAAAGAAGAGGATGGTTCTCTGACCTAGGATGGCTCATGGATTGTGTCCCCACGCTTCAGGAGTCCTGCCCCGTGTACGATGCTTGTCACCAAAGTGTACGAACTGCACTTTCCGGAAGTGTACAGTACACAGTAACTGAGCTAACTGGCCTTTTCTGAATGCATCTAGTAATGAGATCTCTTTTCCACTAGGACCTATTTACACCTTGCACTCCTGAGAAACACATTTTGGAAAGCAAGGTTCTAGATTTTCTGTAAAATCTTCTTGGATTCTAATAATTTCTGCAGGAATCCATGGTTGAGTGTCTAGATGCTTGTACAGATGAGGAGAGTTTTGGGGGAAAGCCATGTTCCTCGGGGGCACATGAGGAATGGTCGTATCTAAGAGATGCTGAGAGGGAAGGACGTTGAGACCGGAGCCTGCAGTAGACCAACAGGGAGAGAGCTAAGCTCGGGCTCAGGGGGCTCCTACTAGAAGCCAGCCAGGGCTCACCGCAGCTCGGACGCCAGCAGCACAGGAGCATGGAGCGTGCAGTGAGTGCCAGATCCCTCACAGGACGCCAGACAGCAGGAGAGTCCAGGGAGGGGCGGGGCGAGGGCCTGGAGGGCTGTGGAGATTCCACAGCGAACAGGACACATCCAGATCCACACTGTCCACCTTCTCGCCTCGAGGCCTCCGGGGAGCAGATGAGGAGAAGCCCTGCGGTGTTTATCCCACCAGATAAAGCAATGAAGCCATGGCCTGTTGCCTCTGTGCTGTGTGGAAGATAAGAAACCTATTTCTGGTGCCTGACACTTCTGTGTTTCCAGACAGGGTGTCCCAAGTCCAGTGCCACATGGCCTGGGATTTCTGGGGTTCTGTGGGGAGTGGAAATTTTTCCTGGGTGGCCCTCATTGCTTCTGTCATCTTCCTCCATAAACTGTTGCACCTCTACCATTCTGCCTTGGAGCCAGCTGATTATGGACTGAAACCTCTACAAACTGTGAGCTAAAAAAATCTTTTCCCCTTTAAAAAAAAAAAAGAAAAGAAAAGAAAAAGAAATTTTTCCTGGGTGAGCCTCAAAACTTCTCTGATTGCTTATTAATTTCTCCTTTTTCCTCCACAATTGCTGAAGTATTGCTTTATACATTTGCTTTTTTTTCTTTTTTTTGAGACAGGGTCTCACCATGTAGTTCAGGCTGCCCTCAAACTCATGGCAATCCTCCTGCCTCAGGCTCCCAAGTGCTTGAATTACAGGCACGTGCCAGCATGCCACGCCCAACTTCAAAATAAAAAATTAAAAGGGCTGGAGATGTAGTTTAGGGTGAAGGACCTGAGTTCAATCCCCACTACTAAAAAATAAACAAAATACACACTAAATACACATAACCCCAAAACAACAAAAACAAAGAACATTTATTCTAGATTAACATTTTTATAGTTTTATTGAGGTATAATATATAGACAATAAAATTAGCCTAACTCAGCCTGAGTAACTTAGTGAGACTTTGGCTCAAAATAAAATTTTAAAAGGGCTAAAGGTATAGTTCTTAGTGCCAATCTCCAATACTGGAAAAAAAAGAAAATCCCCAGTGTGAGGTCTGAATGAGTTTTTGTCCATGGGTATAGTCATACAACCACTGCTGCAGTCATATTCTGGAACTCTCCCATCACCTTCAAATTTTTCTTGGGCTCCTTTGCAGCCGGTTTCCAACCCTACCACAAATTCCCAGAAATTACAGATGCTTGTTTTCCCTATGGTTTTGCTTTTAAAAAGTCTTTCACCTAAAGTTTCACAGCAATGGAGTGCAGTACGATAGTACTGTATAAAGTATTTCATTTCCGGCTTCCTTCACTGACTATGATGCTTCTGAGACTGACCTATGATGTCACATCTGTACTCCATTCCTTTTAGTTAACATTCATCACTCACCAGTTTCTTTTTGTTTATACATTAGTTGAAGGGCATTTGGGTCACTTCCAGTATGGTACTATTTTAAAATATAAGATATATATATAATTAACATATATAACTATACAATTAATATATAAGTATAAATATTCATATAAGTCTTTCAGTGGATATGTATTTTCCTTTTTCTTGAGTAATACCTAAGATTAGAACTACTGGATCATATGGTATATTTAATATATTAAGAAGCTTCATTTTTCAAAAAGTAATTTTCTTCCCTATCTGACAAGCAACATTTGAGATTTCCAGTTGCTCCATAGCCTCACCAACACTTGTTATTGTTAGTCTTTTTAATCTTAGCTATTCTAGTGTGGCCCTTATAGTATCTCATTGTGGATGTACTACTGAGTAGCATTTCTTTTGTTCCCAATAATGCTGAGCATCTATTTATGTGCTTTTTGACTATTCATATATTTCCCTGTGTAATATTTATTCAAATATTATTCTCTTTATTATTGGATTTTCTTGTTATTGCAGTGAAAGAAGTTTTATGTATTCAAATATAAGTCCTTTGTCAGATATGTGTCTTACAATTATTTTCTCTTAATTTGCTTACCTTTTTGTTTTCTTAATTAAATTTTTGGTAAGCTAATGTTCTTATCTTTATCTAGTTTTATTAGAATTTTTTTTCTTTTTTTCTGATAGCCTCTTGCTATTTATTTCAAGCTGGCCTTGAACTTACTATATAGCTCAGGCTGGCCTCAAATTTTCTGTGATCCTCCTACCTCAGCCCCACAAGTGCTAGGATTATAGATGTGTGCCACTATGGCCAGGAAGGTTTTGTTTGTTTTGGTTTTTTGAGACAGGGTCTCACTATGTACTTTGGGCTGGCCTTGAACTTGCTAGTACTCCAGGCTGGCCTTGAACTCACAGCAATGCTCCTGTCTCAGCCTCCCAAGTGATGGGATTATAGGCATGTGCCACCAGGCCCAGCAGGGTACATTCTTAAGGTATATACAAAATTACTCCAGTATGATTTATTAAAGACCATCCTTTCCCCTCTGTTGGCAGTTTATCAAAATTCAACCTACCATGTAAATGTGAGTCTATTTCTAGATTCTCAACTCTGTTGCATTAATCCATATGTCTATCCTAAACCTCTGCCACATTGTCTTGATTATTATAGCTTTTATAGCATGTCCTAAAATCAGATAGTGTGAGTCTTCTAACTATTTCTTCTTAAAAGTCATTTTGGCTGTTCCAGATTCTTTGTATATGCTGCATTTTAAATTGTGCCTTAATGTCTGGGAAGGATACCATGTATAATTCTGTACTGATTTTATAGACAAAGAAACCACAGGCTCACAGCAAATGTGACTGACTTCACATCACAAGGTTGGGTTCCTGTCTCTCTGGTGGCTTCTCATTTTCCTCCTGAAATGTCAGCTCCACAAGACCAGGGATTGTGTTTGTCTTCTTCACCTCTCAATCCCAAGAAATACAGTGCTCATGGTAGGTTTTCAACAAATATCCATGGGGCAAAAGAAGAAATGAGGCACAAGAGAAACTCACTCACTTATCTTTGTTGGTACAAAGAACAGAACTGCACCCACAACTTCAGTTTCCAAACTCTCTATTTAATAGATCTTATTACAACAATCTGGGGGGAGAGACAGAGAAGAAAGGCAGAGGAGAAAGAAAGCAATTGAAGTATGAGGTAGATAAAAGCGTTATTAGAAAGTTGCTTAAAAGGCGTTTGTTTTGCAACATACCTGCCCACAGTTTCCAGATATGAAACGTCCACATACTTACCCTGTCTGAAATGCTTTGTAACATGCAGAGGGCTGCAGATGAGTCCCAGATGCCAAACCACAGCCTAAGCAGGAGACAACGTTTCCTTCCTGACAAGATGCTAAGCAAACACAAAATGGACTTGCAGGCCAGAGCGGATCCCAGGGTCAGCAGCAGACAGACCCCAGCTGAAACTCTGTGGCCGACAAGGTTTCCATTCTGCAGAGATCTTCTGCGAGCAATATTCTGCAGTGGTGTTCTCCTGCAATTTAATTCTGAAAGGAACGCCATCTTTAAGGAAATCCCCTGAGTTGCAGGCCTTCTTTTTAAACCTGCAAGACTGGGTGTCAAAAAGTAATGATACCCTGGCGGGAGGCAGAAAAAGACTGGGACTGCAGGCCAAGATCACACAGCTGCAGGGAGAGGTGGCTCTGGCTCCACAGCCTCTAATACGAGGGGCACGTAATCTTCCTAAACTATAAGCATGGGTACTAAATGTGCATTTGAAGGTGCTGGAATTGTCATTAATTGCTGTGCAATAGCCCTTCGACCAAATTCTCCCTCAAGTCAACACTTGTCCCTTCCATTGCAATGAATGGGTGTCCCTTACAGATAACTAAGAGGAGACTGTGGTTCTATGACCTTACATGGCCCTGTGAAGACTTGGATTTACCAATGGTTATTAAGTGAGATTTATGCTAGGAGCAGTCCTGAGAGGCAAGAAATTAAATCTTTATTGCAAGATGCTAGGAGCTGCTGGGGGGAATCTATGACTGTACATCGCCCCACCTTGATTTTCTCCCAAATCTGCAGGTGGGAGGCCCAACCACCATCGCTGTGTCTGGTTCATTCCCTCAGTTGTCAGCTTCAATGTCACTTTCTCTGGACTCGAGTAAGCCTGCCCGGTAAAGCATCACACTTGTAATTACTCATCTAATGGCAGTTTCCAGTTCTGAGATGAGAGAGGCCCTGTCTGTCTTACCTTGCAGGCTGCGGATATCTTCATAACACAGGTTCCGGAGGCAGCAGCCTGATTCCAAAGCTTGGCTTCATTACTCACTCTCTGTGTGATCCTGGGCAAATCACTTATCCTCCCTGAGCTTTGGTATCCCCATCTGTAAGATCAAGATATTAACTTTATGGTACTTACTTCATAACGACTGTTCCAAGCTATGACTCAATGAGATCAAGCCACTAAATGGCATGGCCTATGTTAAGCCCTAATAAGAATGAAATAAAATATCAGCAGCTAAATAGAGTTAATCTCTTTAGTGAGCAAATAGAGGCAACAGACGTCATTTTGTGGCTCTTAAAATGACAACATGAAAAGAACTATTATTGAAAGCTTACTGAGAGTCAGGAACTGTGCTGGATGATTTACATATGATAGGTGAATTTAGGAGAGACAGACAACAAGCCGTCCATCACCACCTGGCCTGTTAGCTTCTCTCTGGGCACAGTCCTGTTAGTTAGGGAAGGGGGTCATCAGAGTGTCTGTGCGTGGCGGCAATGAGTGGCTGTGGCAGTCAGAGATCTGGAAGGAAATGAACAGCATGCCCGAAGGTTGATTGGAGAAAGAACAATGAAAGGGCTTGGTTGTAGTTAAAGAAATCAATGAAGCAAGGAAACCAACAGGAGATCATAGAGCAGGCTGCAACCAGCAACAGGGGAGAGCTGTCGCCTCCATGGGCTTGAATGGGCAAAGGAAAGCAGCAGCGCTTCCAGGGGGCCATGAGAGGCATAGTCATGGAGTGGAGCCGCCCTATCAGCTGCGTGGGGGAAGACAGAGGAGCCCCACTCCAAGACAGGGGCCCCTGAGGAAGGAGGAAGTCCTTCGCTGTTCTCCTGGCTCTTGCTGGCCTCCTGCTTCTGCCTCTCAATGGCCACACCCTGCTGGAAGCCAGAGAGGGACCAGGTGATCTGGTCACCTTGTTCTGAAGCAGTGACAGCACAGGAGGGGCTGAGCTTGGATCTATCCAGAAGAACAAACAGGATAACCTTCTCAGAACCACTCACCATCCTGTCTACTCACATTTGAATAAATTCCTGTTGACCACATTAGGAATATTAGAAGGGAATGAACAATCTAGGCATTTCAACTACACTACTGGCAGGACTCTCTCTCTCTCTCTATATATATATATATGTATGTATGTACACATGCATGTATGTGTGCATGTATGTGGTACTGGGGATTGAACTCTGGCCCATGCACATGATAAGCAAGTGCTCTACTACTGAGCCACACTCCAACTCTTTTTGTTTTATTCTGAGACAGAGCCTCACTATGTGGCCCAAGCTAGGCTTGAACTTGGATCCTCCTTCCTCAGCCTCTCAAGCATCTGGGATTATGGATGCCAGGACTCTTACTATGTTAAACATAAAAGCCAACTTTTCTTCTTACTACCATCAGTGAAGATGAAAAATAAAAAGTGTAAGAAGCATCAGACAGCAACCGACTATCCGTTACTTCTCCTTCTCAGAGTCTTCTGAAACGTGAAAGTGGACTCCAGGCACCGCTCAGTTGCACAGTGCTTGCCTAGCATGTTCAAGGCCACAGGTTTGATCCCCAGCATCACCAAAACAGAAAGAATGAAAGACGAACACTGATGCAGCTTAGTTCCGTGCTTGCAAATGCCCAGTTACAGTATTTCATTGAATTTAAGAATCCTAGTTTTGCTAATGAATCGGAGTCATCATTTCTCACCTTCTATTTTCCTGGCTAACGTCAATTCAGTTTGGGACATCTGTTTGTTCACTGAAGTTCTCTCTTCTGGAATACGCCTTTATTTTATTTTTATTGTAGATATATAGAAAACATAAAATTTGCCATTTTAATTTGCCATTGTTAAGCTTATGTTGGGTGGAATTAAGCTTATTCACATTGTTGCCCTTCACAGCTATCTATCTCCAGAATGTTTTCAGCATCCTAAAGAGGAAGTCTGTACCCATTGACAATTGGATCCCACTTCCTCATCCCCCAGATCCCAGAAACCACAGCTCTGCTTTCTTCTCCTGTGCATTGCTCCTCTCTAGGTGCCTTATATAAGTGGAATCACGTGTTATCATATGTGGTCTCAGAATGTGTTTGTATGACTGATGTGTTCACTTAACATAAAGCCCTCAGGGTTCATCCATGTTGTAGCAGGTGTCAGAGTTCCCTTCCCTTCAAAGGCTGATATATGCCATTGTATATATGCACCACATGCGGTTTAACTATTCACCACTAGTTAATATACACTTCAGTTGCTCTCATCTCTTGGCTACCGTGAATTATGCTGCTTTTCAGTTCACGTGGGTACATACCCAGAAATGGGCTTGCTGGATTATATGGTAATTCTCTTGCTTTTTGAGAAACCACAAAACTGTTTTCCACAGCAGCTGTGTCATTCTGCATTCCAAACAATAACCCACAAAAGTTTTCAGTTTCCTCACACCCTCAACGCTACTTTTTGTGTTGCTTTTGTTGTTGTTATTAATATCATTCTAAAGGGTATGGGTTGGTATATCATTGTGGTTTTAATTGCATTTCCCTAATGTTTAGTGGTGTTGAGCATCTTTTATGTGCTTATTGGCCACTTGTATTTCTTTTTTTAGAGCAATATTTATACAAGTCCTTTGCCCATTTTAAAATCAGGTTGTTTGGTTGTTTTGTCATTGTTGTAAGGGTTCTTTATATATGCTGGCTATTAATCCCTTATCATAGAAGATTTGGAAATATTTTCTCCATTTCATGAATGGCCTTCCACTCTGTTGATAATGACTTTTGATGCAGACAAGTTTTTAGACAGGTCTTGCTATGTAGTTCAGGCTGGCCTTGAACTCACTATATAGCCTAGGCTGGCCTTGAATTTACAGTGATCCTCCAGCCTCAGTTTACCAATTGCTGAGATTATCAATGTGCCCTACATGCCTAGCATACTTCTTATAATTAACTTGTCTCAACTCACAGATGGAAGAACTACTTCAGTTGATTATTATTCAGGGAACAAATATGTGAGTTCCCCTGCTTATAAGATGTAAGGGCACAGTGGGCTAAGATAGTGGAAAGAAAAAGGTATAGAAATATTTTGTTTGAGAAACCAAAATTAAGGCAGGGATTACTATTTTATGTAGTATTTCAAATGGAATCGGTTTCACAAATTACCAAATTCTACCCATTTTGTAAAAATGTAAGAACATAATGGAACACTCAGTATGAAGACTAAAGGTCCAGGGCAGGGGATTTAGCTCAGTGGCACAGTGCCTGCCTGGCAAGCAGAAGGTCCTAAGTTTGATCCCCAGTACCAAAGAAAAAAAAGACTAAAGGTCCAAATTTGTGTCCTGGAGACTCCTTTTGCCCTCTGTGTGCTTCAGGCAAGATGATTGACAGCTCTGAGCCTTGGACATCTGATCTATAACAAGAATGGGGAGAGGGTGGTAAAAGCAGCTAGACCGAAGAGTGGGATAGGATTAAGTACATATCAGAGAATGGAGGGAAAAAAGTGAACAAGAATAGCATTATCACAGGAGTAACCCTGAGTCTTCATTAATGTATACAAAAACCAAAGTAATTCACAAATGGTATTTCAATCCAACAAGAAACTATTTGCACTCTACCTCACAAATGAAAAACTCATTCCTCAAGCCATAGTTGTCCAAATGTTTTGATTGGGGGTAGCTCAGGCAGGGCAAAAGATCCTGTGATCCATGTATTTTACTCAATTCTACTTTCCAACTAAAAACAGATCAATAATAACCAAGACTACAAAAGTAAGCACTTGAAGATATTAGTTAAATCAAGGATAGTAGCGATTTAAAAGCATGGCCAATTCAAGACAAAATCCATGACACATGGCTAACAAAGACACTTCCCAAGTATGGTGATGAGTCCAGCTCTCTGCCAGGGCACAGACACACAATGGTGGGAGTTGCATGCAAGCAAGCTAGCTTAATGGAAATACTCAACAAACCCAACAAAAATATGTATGTAATTTTAGAATCTTTACTAAACTCACTTATTTACCAGTAATCAGACCAAAGTATGTAATAGTGAAAATCAAGGAAGCCTAGAATAAAAGGAATTGCATTCTGTATTCATTCATTCAATGCTCATCAGATGGATCCTTTGGACCTTGGTGGACCATGGAGCATATCATAAGAAACTCTGTGCAGTAGCTCTGTTAACCTGTTAATCTGTTGTATCTGCTGCAGGCCCGTGTATTAAAGGCTTGGTCCTTATCTTGGTGCTAATGGAAGGTGATGGAAGCATTTAAGAGGTGAGGCCTAGCAGGGAATGGGGTTGTCATTAAGGTTGTGTCCTCAAAGGGGCTTATGAAATACCAGTCTCTCTCTCTCTCTCTCTCTCTCTCTCTCTCCTCCTTCCTGTCATGGTGTAAGGGCTTCCTCTTCCACCACCCTCATCTTGATGCACTCCCTCACTACAGGATCAGTGGGGACCACCAACTATGGACTGAAACTTCCAGAACCGAGCCAAGCAAACCTTTCCTCTTTTTAAGATGATTATCTCAGGTATTTTGCTATAATAATGTAAAGCTGCCTAAAGCAGTTGCAGTACATTCAGATATTCAGAAATTCAGATATTCATTTGAGCTCTCAGTGTGTGCCTGGTATAGTTTACTGCTTTGAGAAGGACATAAAAAGTTGAACAGGCTCCTAAGGAGCTTAGAGTCTATTTGGTGCTCAATAAATAAATATTGATGATGGGCCAGGGATTTAGCTCAGTGGTGCTGCCGCCTGCCTTGCAAGTACAAGGTCCAGAGTTCGATCCCCAGAACCAAAAATATAT